ACTTCTCGCCTTCCTCGTCGATGTGAACTTTCCTCCAAAATATATCGTTGAAGGGAGAGATGAGCAAGAAGTTGTGCGAAGAGGACATGATGGGAAGTTGTCAATGAAAATCCTGAGAAACCGCATCTTGTAGCTATCTCGGCGTAGACGTATGTGTCCGAATAACTCAAAGGCTAATTCGGATTGAGGGATTAACGCCAACTTGGAGGTGACGTAAGAATTGAAGGATCCGGCAAACTTGTAAGGGCAAAGCGAAGGACTACTGACAGGCTCCCACATAATAATTCCTTCTTTCAGCACACAAGCCGTCGGACAACGTGCAGTTTTGAGATTGGCCAGAGAACTGATAACGCGATGCCATCGAACGAAGCAAGATCTCCATATTTGATAGCATAAATACTGCGTAAGTAATGATTTGTCCCCAGTAAGGGTAAACTATAATGGTCGTCTTCTACCTCTTCCGTAGCAAAAAATCCAAGCAAAATCTGTTTCAGGTCGTGGCTATGCGCCTTGCCGGTCGCTCTCATCTGCTGGCACAATTCGCGGGTGACCGAAAGACGGAAACGCTCGACGATCTCTCTCTTTGTTCGAATATAAAGAAAGTTTGTAATTGCCACTTTGACGACATCGCGATAACATTTAGTCGCATTTACACGCAGAGGTTCATCAGTTTCGGTGTATAGGCGAACTGGCATGCGCATCAGAGGTTCCTCAGGGGAAATAGTGCAATTCACCGGCGCGGGAAGAGCGATGCTGTTAGCGAATGGATTAGTACCACAGACCTGTTATGGCTGGGCCAGACAAATGTGGTGAGTGACATCATAATCACAGCAACGATGCAGAGCAAGTGGGACGCGTTGAATGGCAGTCGCGATTTGGATCCGGTAGATGTCGGATATGGATATGTGCTTGACGTCGGCATAATCGGAACGTAAGGAGGATCACGTAATGAACCTTGCCAATACGGTCTGCCACGTGGTCTGCCTCTGGGCGGTTTTTCCTAGTCGGCTATTTTGGACGATTATAAGAGTT